CTGAACCAACTACAATGTAACAGGAAGTAGAATGAAGAAGTAATTGGAAAAAGGGAAAGAAAGGAAAGTAAAGGAAAGCAAAGCAGGAAGAAAAAAGAAAGGGAAAAGAACCAAGGGGGTGTCTGGAGGATCTCTGGGGATAATGCCAATATACATGGCTAATTCAATGTATAAGAGGGCAAGGATTGGTTGTCCCCCTGTCCATGTTTCATGTATGTATCATTTAAAAGAGGTGGAAGAGGAGTATACTATCCAGACCCCCATAAGAGCAAAAAACTGATCTGAAGTCTCATTATCCTGAGCCAGTAGTCCCCAAGACCTTTTTTACCATCCGCTCTCTACATATGTCCCGATCAGGCAAGCATGCGTTTATCCGAAATATATATGCGATATAATAAGTTGTATTTCTTTTTATGATTATATGTATATTTATACATGTTTATGGCAACACCTACCCAACCAGTCGTAAGGAAGTGAGTAGAAGTCTGCGAAATGCGTAGACAATTTGAGTATGGAGACGCTGGTGGCAATGCCCAGAGAACCCAATTACGTTACAGCGATCAAATGATACAATTACGCAGGATTTGATGTATGACTTATATGTATGCCTATTCCAGACTCCATCTCAGGGTTGGGTGTCTTGCCATCTCTCAGACAGAACATTGGGGATCGAAAGTTTGGGCACCCCAGCTAAAAATTTGTATTAATGTGCATAAAGAAGCCAAAGAAAGATGGAAAAATCTCCAAAAGGCATCAAATTACAGATTAGACATTCTTATAATATGTCAACAAAAGTTAGATTTTATTTCCATCATTTACACTTTCACAATAACAGAAAACAAACAAATGGCGTCTGCAAAAGTTTGGGCCCCCTGCAGAGTTAATATCTTGTACTGCCCCCTTTGGCAAGTATCACAGCTTGTAAACGCTTTTTGTAGCCAGCCAAGAGTCTTTCAGTTCTTGTTTGCGGTATCTTTGCCCATTCTTCCTTACAAAAGTCTTCCAGATCTTTGAGATTTCTGGGCTGTCTATCACGCACGGCTCTTTTAAGGTCTATCCATAGATTTTCAATTATGTTGAGGTCAGGAGATTGTGAAAGGCCATGGCAAAACCTTCAGTTTACGGCTCTTGATGTAATCCCCCGTGGATTTCGAGGTGTGTTTTAGGATCATTATAACTTTTGTTGACATATTATAAGAATGTCTAATCTGTAATTTGATGTCTTTTGGAGATTCTTCCATCTTTCCTTGGCTTCTTTATGCACATTAATACAAATTTTTAGCTGGGGTGCCCAAACTTTCGATCCCCACTGTAGATGGTGTTGCTGTCAGCACCTGTGGTAGTGAGCTCTTGTTGATACTCAACTTGTGGTTCCCCAGGGCGCGGAGTCTAAGCCCCAGCTTGCTTCTTCACCAGAGCCCCTGACGGTTGGGATGGACTTGCAGCAAGCTGGAACCAGGTCGCGGCCCCCAGGTATGCCCAGCTGAGGTTGAGGAGACCGCTTGCGGGAGCAGAGTATAATGGGAGGAGACAAACGGAATCCGATAGGCTAGCCAAGGTCAGGACAGGCGGAAAAGAAGCAAGGTCAGAGAACGAAGCCGGGGTAGGTACACTAGTAGTCAATGTAGGATTCAGGCAGTATTAACACACAGGAGCTCCGACAACTAGGAAGTTGCTCAGGCAAAATGGCCTAGTCTGAGCATGTCTTATATAAACGGACAAAAAAAGAGACGGGACAGGAAGTGATGGAAGGGAAGGAAATAAAACCCAGAGAACAGCAGACGACGCCCATAGATGAGCACAGACAAACACACATGTGAAAGGGATCAGGAGCAGGACTGCAGCAAGGAGGTAAGAACACAAACAAGAAACTGCAGGCTAACTTGTGACAGTTGCATTGTTTTTATAAAATTATGTTTTACTATGTGGAAATAAAAATTTGTGATTTTATATAGTTGCCTCGTGTTATCCCGATAAAATCGGTCTTTTTTCTTCAAGAACTTTCATTCCCAAAGTAATATATACAATTTTTTGGATGTGGCATGGTGAGGGCCTTTATATGATTGCCTAGCCAGAATGTGACCATTCACTATTGCTGTTTGTTGGCTTCTTGTGGCTCTGGCTATGCGTAGACATCATTACTCATTACGGATACCTTACCTGTGCCACAAAGTACATAAGCAATGCCCTCCCTCTCTTGTGTTCTTCCATCCTTGTGGTAACAGTTTGGTGAAGACCAATTTCTGTTCCACCATGACTGTGCCCCTGTGTACACAGCCAAATCCATAAATACATGGCTTGGTGGGTTGGTTTGTAGGAACTCGAGTGCCAAGACCTCAATCCTACTGAACAACTTTGGGATAAACTGAAACGTTGACTGAGCCAGGTCTTCTCATCCAACATCAATATCTGACCTCACAAATGGGAACACATTCCCACTGACACCCTCCAGAATATTGTGGAAAGTCTTCCAAGAGGAGTGGAGGATGCTATAGCCACAAAGAGGGCAACTTTATATTAATAGCCATGGGAGGGGAAGGGCAGCTCCATATTAATGGCCATAAAGGGAGGGGGGCAACTTCATATTAATGGTCATGGACTCTAGTGAAGGGTACCATTAATATTTCATCATACAAAAGACATTGTAGATGATTGTGCTCTTTCAATCTTGTGGTAACAATTTGGTGAAGACCCCTTTCTGTTCCACCATGACTTTGCCCTGTGTACAAAGCCAACACTATAAAGACATGGTCAGACTAGTTTGAGTCCTGACCTCAACCCTACTGAACACAACTGGGATGAACTGAAACACTGATGGTGAGCTAGGCCTTCTCATCCAACAACAGTATCTGACCTCACAAATGGGAACATATTCCCACAGTCACCCTCCAAAATCTTGTGGAAGGCCTTCCAAGAAAAGTGGTGCCAACTCTATAAAGACATGGTTTGACCAGTTTGGTGTGAAGAAACTGGAGTGCCCTGGACACAGCCATGACTTCAACCCTACTGAACACCTTTGGAATGAATTGGAACATCAATACCTGACCTCAAAAGGTGGGCACAAATTCCCACAGATACTCTCCAAAATTTTTTTGAATACCTTCCCAAAAGAGTGGAAGATGTTATTCAAGCAAAGGGAGACAAATATAAAAAATAACTGTGGATTTGGAATGGCATGTCCAAGGTATGATGGTTGGAGGAAATTGAGTGGCCTGCACAGAGCCCTGACCTCAACCCCACGGAACAACTTTGAGATGAATTTGAACACTGATGGTGAGCCAGGTCTTCTCATCCAATATCAGTGCCTGACCTCACAGATGGCCACAAATTCTCACAGACACCCTCCAAAATCTTGAGGAAAGCCTTCCCAGAAGAGTGGCGCCAACTCCATAGAGACATGGTTTGGCCTAGTGTGGTGTGGAGGAACTCAAGTGTCCTGTGCAGAGCCCTGACCATCGGAATTGGAATTCTGATGGTGATCCAGGTCTTCTCGTCCAACATCAGGCCTTCCCAGAAGAGTGGAGGATGTTATAGCCACAAAGGTTGGCAACTCCACATTAATGACCATGGTAGAAAGGGGGATAATTCCATATTAATGACCATGGTGGAAGGTGGGGTAATTCCATATTAATGACCATAATGGTGGAAGGGGGTATAATTCCATATTAATAGGCCATGGCGGAAGGGGGTATAATTCCATATTAATGGACCATGGCGGCAGGGGGATAATTCCATATTAATGACCATGGCGAAAGGGGGGATAATTCCATTAATGGCCATGGTGGAAGGGGGGATATTCCATATTAATGACCATGGTGGAAGGGGGGATAATTCCATATTAATGGCCATGGTGGAAGGGGGGATAATTCCATATTAATGGCCATGGTGGAAGGGGGGATAATTCCTTATTAATGACCATGGTGGAAGGGGGGGGATAATTCCATATTAATGGCCATGGTGGAAGGGGGGATAATTCCATATTAATGGCCATGGTGGAAGGGGGGATAATTCCATATTAGGAATGGCCATGGTGGGAGGGGGGATAATTCCATATTAATGACCATGATGGAAGGGGGGATAATTCCATATTAATGGCCATGGAGAAGGGGGGATAATTCCATATTAATGACCATGGTAGAAGGGGGGATAATTCCATAGGAATGGCCATGGTGGAAGGGGGGATAATTCCATATTAATGGCCATGATGGAAGGGGGATAATTCCATATTAATGGCCATGGTGGAAGGGGGGATAATTCCATAGGAATGGCCATGGTGGAAGGGGGGATATTCCATATTAATGACCATGATGGAAGGGGGATAATTCCATATTAATGGCCATGGTGGAAAGGGGGGATATTCCATATTAATGGCCATGGTGGAAGGGGGGATAATTCCATAGGAATCACCATGGTGGAAGGGGGGATATTCCATATTAATGACCATGGTGGAAGGGGGGATATTCCATATTAATGACCATGGTGGAAGGGGGGATAATTCCATATCAATAGGCCATGGTGGAAGGGGGGATATTCCATATTAATGACCATGGTGGAAGGGGGGATATTCCATATTAATGGCCATGGTGGAAGGGGGGATAATTCCATATTAATGACCATGGTGGAAGGGGGGATATTCATATTAATGGCCATGGTGGAAGGGGGGATATTCCATATTAATGGCCATGGTGGAAGGGGGGATATTCCATATTAATGGCCATAGTGGAAGGGGGGATATTCCATAGGAATGACCATGGTGGAAGGGGGGATAATTCCATATTAATGACCATGGTTTTGGAATAGGAATTTCTGGTTGGGCGTCTTTCTAAGTCCAATTGTCTTCATCTGTTGTGCGTTTCTTACACCCCTTGTAGAAGACCTATTTTCAGGTGTCCCATTTTTGGAGACAATGGAAAGCCTTTATAATAGGGATTACAATATCTGGCCTTTCTAGGTACACGA